AGGTTCAAATTTTTTGTTGTAGATAATTTAATTTTCTTGTTTTAGTAAACTGGAATTCTATATTTCTTTATGATGTTTATAATGGAAGAATCGCCCTGAAAATATGTAAATATGTATATATTTGTCATTTACATATTTCCAATTATGGCGTGTCTATGTTCCGGTTTAACATGTTATGAAAAAAATACCCCCCCACCTCCACCTCTAAACTTACTTTTCTGTTTAGCGCAGATCTGACATTTAAGCGGTTAATCAAGACATACCACAAGTCTATTTTTAATTGTGATCTTATGTTTTCCCACCCATTTTAACTTTCGGAAAAGCGGTAACAATTTCTTTTTAAAATTTTCGTAAAAACCAGTTAATCACCAGTTATTTACCATCGTCTGAAGAAGTACAGGTATAGTATTGAAATATGAAAGCTTTTGTGTAGCGATGTCAGCAGGTTTTTTATCATAATCTCTTATAATAAAAAAATAATAATAATAGTTTACTTGGTATAGAGCACTTTATTAAAAGTAAATGCTGCGAATAGTTGAATTTTATTGCATCACTTCTTTCACTCATTTGTGTGTGGCTATATATATATATATATATATATATATATATATATATATATATTATATATATATAATCTATTCATTTTTTTTTTTCCAACACTTCTGGTGTCATATCAAGTGATGGTGTTGAACACCGTCACTTGATAAGACACCAGAAGTGTTGAAACAAAATGGCTATTTTTGTAGTGATTTTATAACATATTTATATTATAATTTTCGAATAAATTATATTTGCTCTACTCTGTATTAAGCACTCTTTTAAGAATAGTATTTTATGGTTAATAACAATAATAATAATAATAATAATAATAATAGATACATATATATATATATATATGTGTGCATGTGTGTCTCTGTATGTCTTGTGTGTGTGGGTGGGTGGGTGTGTGTTTGTGTGTATCGGTTATTGCTGAATTGGTCTAACAAGTGCGGCGAAGTTTGGGCTGTAACTTTGAATATATGGGAGGCTTTTTTCAGGTTTGGTTTGCTTTGGTTTATTTTCTTTTACGGTATATCAACCTCAATGTGTTATTTAATAACCGACACAACTTTTATTGCTGCTAATAATTTGTTTTGTCAAAAATCTGTTTCTGGTAATATTTTTCTTTCAAAATTGTATTGCTGGTAATATTTTTTTTTCAAAAAAGTATTGCTGGTAATAATTAACTATTTGCCCAGAGCTGGGATCCTAACAGGTGCTACCACTACGGGTCAGGGTGGACCTGTGAACACCAGCAATTCAGAGGTGGTTTCACGCTCCTCAAAACATCGTGATCAGAAGCCTTGCTGATGGATGTAGTTTAACGTCTTACATGCAAAAAGAAAAAAAAAGAGGGTCTATCATGTCTCTGAACGAATATTTCACTTGATCTAATCTTTCTTAACAAATCATTTCCAAGTCCATTCTGAGACGGAAGGGGTAGCACCAGCTAGGTTCCCAGCTATGGGCAAATAGTGAACCCCCACAAACCAAAACAAATCACTATGAAAGTATTCATTCATTCATATATATATATATATATATATATATATATATATATATATATATATATTAATTCAGTTGAAATAGAAAACAAACAAACTTAAGTGTTCATTGGTTATAATTTATTTCTTCAGGTATGTGGTTTTTAACTGGTTCATGAGGCCACACTTTCAAGAGTGGGAAAAGGCTTTAAACATACATATAATTTTTGCATACATTTGAGGGGTTGTTTTAAGTTGATGTAAGGTGATATAGAGAGAGTGGGAGGAGGAGTATGACAGACATGTCGAAATTACAGAGGGAAAGGAGAGAAGGAATAATTTTAAATCTATTATTATTAAAATACTTAAGGTTAGGTGAGGTGGGGTTAAAGACCAGACATTGACCTATTTAATAAGTCATCTCACAGGAAACGAGAAAAAGAGAAAAAAAAGAGAAAGATATAAGAAAGCTGGTGTGGAAGCAGGGATGTGAGGAAAGAAAGGGGAACAGAATGTGTAGAAAGAATAAAAGAAAAGGAAGATTAAATTAACATATACGGGCATATTGCTCTTAATTTGAAAAAACACAGATTTATATATTTTGGCAGTTAACGTTTGATCTTAATTTAAGATATTTCAACAAAATAAACTAGGAAATAAATATAATGTGAATTTAAATAAAATAATTGAATAAACAAAAAACATTACTATTATTAACATTATACACACACACACACACACACACACACACATATATATATATATATATATATATATATATATATATATTACCATCAAGATAAATTTATATAAAAAATTATCACCAATACATATGTATAGTAAAATAACAAACGATACATTTTTATAGTAAAATTACCACTAATACATTTTACAGGAAAATAACCAACAATATACTATATCTATAGTTTAAGGTATACAGTTGAGTTCAAAATATATTTAGTTGAAGACAAAAATTAGTGCTCAAAATATTTAGATTTCGCCATTAAATAACCCACAGATGTGTTGGTATGCCGCTAAACCAAATCATGTAACCAATCAACCATTAAGAAAATCATGTAATGGTAGTTGAATAGCCATTCTTTCACATGAATGTTGGGAAGGTCCTCCAGGGATTATACTTAGACTTACAGTGTTCCTTATCTTCCTGAAGGACCTTCCCGATAGCATCAGTTCGCAATAGTAAATCCAGCAGCAGATCTTGATGATTACTTGCAATCAGTTCTTTACTGGTGCAAGAAATGGCTTGTAAATTTTAAGGCGCCCAAAAGGAAACTCTTATAGTTTTAGTCATTACTGAGTATCAATTTTGAAGCTTGTTGGCCCTTCTTGTTCTCACGTTTTCCACTGATATTTTTTGCCTAATGCAGATGACGCAACTATTTACACTTGTCTTAGTCGCAATGCCGGCAGGTTTGACAAAATAGCATTATCGACTGCTCCCGAAAAGGATCCCCAATCAGGTGTTAAATGAGGTAAATAATGATTTGTAAATGTTAACGCCTCCAAAATATATCTACTTTCATTTAATTACCAGAGAGAACCTGCAAGAGAAAAGAACTTATTGGTCTCATGATTTCCACTGTGGAATGATTGTACTGAAGTAATTGTTAGGTCTGCTGCTGGAAA